TCTTAAAAAAATTTAAATAAGATGGACGGCCAAATGTTGGATACGGAAACTCACAACTGCACTTAAAATTGGACGGAGAAAGTTATAGAAAACAAACTAGTACTCCCTCTATTCCATAATATAAGATACAACTACTTTTTTTTGGATGTTCCATAATATAAAGCATGCATGCATGCATATAATTAATTAGGACTTCTTCTCCATTAAATTATTACTTTTTAAAATCCTCCACCCTCAAAATCTCTAATTCTATTAGATGCATACATTATATTTATTAGGGTAATTCAAACTAGGAGATGATAATAATGATTTCTTGGTCTTTGGGTTAAGGGTTAAGGGTGGTTGTGCCTTATATTTTGGAACGGAGGGAGTACCATAGATAAACTTTAATGTCAATTTTCAAATTTTCTAAAAGAAAGAAGTCAATTATTAAATAAAGTTTCATGCTCTTGGAAGAGAATGCTTGAGCAAGCTACACGGGCAGGAAGATTTGGAATTCGTATCAAATTTCAAATGGAATCGACATTATTTTAACCAAATGGAATCAACATTATTTTAACCAAGGAGGTGTTTAGATCCTCAGAGGTGTGTTTGGATAATGGGAAATGAGGGGTGAGATTGGGATCAAGAAATGAATGAAATGTTAGGATTAAATGGAAGATGGAGAATGAATTATTAGGATTTAAAGATGGATGGGAAATCATTTCCCTTTTCTATTCGCCAAACACTGCCTAGTGTAAAGTTTTGGCGTGTCACATTAGATATACGGACACACATTTGAAGTATTAAACGTAGACTAATAACGTAAACTGCTAGACGAATTTATTAAGCCTAATTAATCCGTTATTAGTAAATGTTTACTGTAACACCACATTGTCAAATCATAAAACAATTAGGCTTAAAAGATTTATCTTGCAATTTACATGTAATATGTGTAATTAGTTATTTTTTTTATATTTAATACTTCATAAATGTGTCCAAATCTGTGGGACAGCATCACATATCCTAGCCATAACTACACCTAACACTTTATCACAACGTTCTGAGCGACACAGTGCAAGAAACCGAGCAAGAGACACACATCGAGAGAGAGAGAGAAGAGAGATGATTCCTTTGACCAAGAAAAGAGGTGGCTTGGGCACTTGGGCCATGGCACATCAAAAGGACAAAAGTTGCAAAGCTGAACAAGTTCCAAAGTTCAGCTCAGCTCCCCAACAACCCATGCAAAACCAACAACGGTATCTTCGTCTCTTCCTTTTCTCTCATGGGGGCTAGTAGAGCATGCAAGAACTACTTTCCAGGATTGTACAAGTTGGAGAAGAGGAACAGAGGCAGCAAATGGTGAGAATCTTTGCAGCTACCGCCAGTAGTAGCTTCAAGTTTTTGGATACTCCTCTCCCTACTTTCTGGCCAGCTATGTGCATCTAGCATCTGCAGGGTTCAGTAAATGATGATACTCCTGGTAGCGCGTGCACCTTCTCAGCTTTCCTTCTGCTACTACTGCACGGCTACTACCCGTAGCCTTTTTGGTTTTTGTGAACACTGTATTTTCAATCCCCTGGGTCTTCTCTGGCCAAGAAAATAAATGTAGGGTTTGTTGGGTTGATACCGAACAATCCTTCCCAAAATTTTGGCTAGGGCAACGTGATTTGGCTATTGTTTATAGTACTATACCTCCGTTTTTTTAATACTAGATAATATCGTTGACTTTTTTATCACATTCTAACCACTCGTTTTATTCAAAAAATTTATGTAATTATAATTTTTGTTGTAAGTTATTTTATCACTCAAAGTACTTTAAATATGATTTATATCTTATATAATTATATAAAAATTTTAAATAAGATTAATGATCAAACATATATTCAAAAAATCAACGATATTATCTATTAAAAAACAGAGAAAGTAGTACTATTGCTACAGTACTTGCAATAAGTTGGTTTTGTTTCTATCAAAAATAAAATAAACATAAAATTAGGACACGAAAAATAAATAAAATATTAACGCATGATTAATTAAGTTCTAATTATTACAAACTTAAAAGGTATTTTATTTGATATTTTAAAGCAACTTATATGTAGAGAAAGTTTTCACACAAAATACGTTATTTAGTTGTTTGAAAAGTATGATAATGAAAACCGAGATAAAATCTATATTTCTAGGGCTTCTTTGTGAGATAGGATTTTAGAAATATAGAAACAGAAAAAATATAGGATTAAAATATTCCATAGCTACGGAAATCTAAAACACAAGATTTTGAAACATAATATGTTTGAATGGCTCGCATGAATTTTGATGGATTTGAGAAAAGAGAAGAGAAGTTGCATTGGACTGCTCAAAGGCAAAGTAAAAGGAGATTTGACCTCATGTGCTATTTTCCTCTGGAATGTACGCATAGGAATGAATTTCAGAGGAAGTTAATATGTTCCAATCCTTTGTTCCAAACAGGTAAAAAAAATATCTATGGAACGGTATCCTCTAAAATTCATATGAATTTCATGTCCTAAACAACACACTCCCTCCCAAACCTACTAATTAAATACTACTTTAGTCCCAAAAAGAATCGAATCCTGACAACAGACCTCGAAAAAACTATGTCCAAATTCATATGCAGGAATTTTATTTTGGGACAAATGGTGTAGGTGCCATACAAATACAAAATACATTATTTATATTTTTTAAATCATGAAGCCACCATTAAAACCAAATTGATTGGTTGTGGTGATCGGATGGTTTTAATAGTTGAGGGATAGAAACATATATGATTTTCTAGTTGATTTCAGACAAGACAAACCTAACAGTTCAGGTCGAATATGGACTTTTTTCTAATCTGAAATGCCCAAACTTATTTCACAGCCAAAAATTTTGGTAATATACTACTATCTCCTTCCTAAAATATACTCCTTCTGGTTACATAATTCTTAATATTTAGGACAATGACGCGATCTCCAAAATATAAGTTTGGCTATGTTTTTCTATTATAATATATACTATAAACAAAAATATTTTTACTTTTATTATAGTAGTTTATACGTCATATCTATAGATGTTATGTTGTTTTTGTGCTTTTAAACTAAATATTTCTAAAGTTATTTATAATCAAAGTTATACATGTTTGACCACAAACTTGTCCAAAAGGTCCAGAATTATAGAACGGGAGTACTGCTTTTGGGTGTACTGGACTACTGGTTCTATGTGCATAGAAGTAACTATATATCCTGAAGCACAGTAGTACTTTCTGCCGAGTTTAGTTCCAAACTATTTTTTCAAACTTCTTAACTTTTCCATCACATCAAAACTTTCCTACATAAATAAACTTTCAACTTTTCCATCACATCATTCCAATTTCAACCAAACTTTCAATTTTAGCATGAACTGACACACCCTAAGTCTACAATGAAGTCCCAAACCAAACAGCCAAGTAGCCAACAAAGCAACTCGGTCAAAAACTTTTGCATCAAACTAAACATGCATAACCTCGACATAATTTTGGTATACCAATATTTAAGGTTCATATCTGCTATTATAAACCAAACCTGCCCGTAATACAGGTTTCTTTGGGCAAGCATACAGCAGTCACATGTGGACTGTTAATACCTCAAAACCAGGTAAAAAGAACATGAGTGGAATAGTTTAGACATGTTTATATACCTCCCAAAGATTAATTGATAAAAGTTATGAAGAAGACAATTGTTTGGCTTTGAAATAACATGTCTGAATACCACTAGGTGCAGTTTAAAAGAGCATACGTGAAATAATCCAAGAAACTTCTATTAGGACAAGTCAATAAAGCAGTTATTGATCCAGACCAACGTAACCTAATTCAACAATTTGACCAGAAACGCCATCTTACTCGTTAACTCCAAACTAGCAGTCCAATATTAATGCAAGACAAATTCACAGGCTTATATGGGGCCTATTTGGGGAAGCTTAAAATTCTGAGAAGTAGCTGGTTGGTAGCCAGTTTCTAAGAATTTGGAAAAACTAGGTTTTCCAGCTTCTGACTTCTAGTTCATTTTCTGGATTCTACAACTACAGCTTCTGGATTCTACAACTACAGTTTCTCAGAATCTGGACTGTTTGGGAAGTTCTGATTCTGGGAGAAGCTACAGCAACTAAAAGCTCCCCAAACAGGGCCATGGTCCCTCATGTCTTACCACGCTTATTAGCCTGATGATTCAATCATACACTCAAGGTTTCCAAAATGACAACTTTGGCATGCATTTAAGCTGAACTTACTATGGCACACAATTAATCATCAAACAAGAAAGCCACATCAAGAACTAGAACTACAGTATCCCCTCCTTTGATTTTGAATGATACTACTCCCACAAGTTGGCCATTCAAGTTTAGTACTAAACTCAAGATTTTTCACACAAACTTTCTAAGATTTTTCACATAAGTAGTTCAGAGGTAAACACTGGCAATTTCACTGTGGCTGAAATTAACTTCAGGAAGAGGTAAACACTGTAGCAATTTCAGAGGAGAACATCACAATACAAACAGTGGGCCTCTAGGGGGACTGAACCTGCATTCCACACCCACAGACAAAACAAAGTAGGAATAGGGACAGAAGGCCTTACGGCGTCCTGTCCTGCCGAAGTCAGCATAGTACCCCTCTAGTATTACACTTTCTTCTCTGCATGAAGAAAGCAAGAGGAGAAAAAGAGAACCCAAAAAAAAAAACAACATTCCTAACGCATCCAAAGGGCCCCCAAGCTAGGGTTTGAAATGTTTACAGCTCTGGTCAGTGGTGGTCACTCTACTCTCCACTGGCTCAAAGAAAAGACAAAATTGACCAAAAGCAGGTGATTTCCAATGTGTGGAAATGACACCAAAAAGAAGGCTGGAAGACAGCTCTCCTTGGAGTACAGTTCGAATGAGACGAATCACTAGTTTGCAGATTTTTTACCGTGGTGCCAGGAAGCAGGACAAGTGCAAATGTGCAACGGTGAAAAAGGTGTAAAAAAACTGGTAGTAGCAGTCAAGAAAGAGTGGAGTTGTAGTGAAAAGCAATAACAAGCATCATTCCAAGGGAAAGTTTTTAAGTAAAAGGTCATGACAAGCATCATTCTTGATCAAAAGTCTACAGGATGAACCACTAAACACCGGGGTCCTACTAACCTGCCTTACCGGGATCTTGTTCAGTTCCTTGCACTAATTGACTGACCTCCCTCCATCTCCAGCCAAAAAAAATTCTGCCTTCCAATGTTGATTCTATTAGTACTTCTGCAATGCAAGAGATTCTTCCACATCTCCAATCAAGAATGCATGCGCCTCGATTAACTTGTAATCTTGCAAGATGTATAGCCTTCAACAACAAAAAAAAATGAATGCATTGTCACAAATGATGAGATGAAATGAAATCCATCACTCTCACTCAGCTTCGTCTTCTTGGAGTGAATCTTGTGAGGATTTAGACATGCATGGCGTTGTTGGGGGAGAGCTTGATTTGAGGTGTTTGGATCAGAATGGCGGCGGCCTGATGCTGCCGCTCCAGCTACCGAAGTTGTCTCCTGGTCCGGGAAGTTGCTGCTGCTGCTGCTGGTAGGATCCCACATGGCCTCCAAGATACATGCCGAGACCGCCGCCGCCGCCGCCGTCACCGGCGGTCACCTCAGAGGACTGCGAGGCTGTGGGCTGCTGCTGCGGTGGTGGTGGGCCGGTTGGCTGCGCCGCATCGCCGGGAGGGGTGGCGGCGGCAGCCTCTGCCTCCGGATCCTCCCCATCGAGTGGCAGACGCTCGTAGACGGCATTGGCGAACGAGGCGGCCATGAGGAAGACTGGCCCCGCGGCGATGAGCTGGCCGGCCACGCTCCCGCCGACCACCTGGCCCTGCCCGCCGGAGAGGAAGACGGTGAGGCCGCTGGCGCTGGGCGGCGCGGGCGGCGGGAGGACGGTGCCCGTGAGGGACAGGATCTCGAACTGGCCGCGCATGGTGGCGACCAGGCTGCCCGGGGGCGACGCGCCTGGCTGGCGGAGCGCGACGTTGGCGACGGCGCCGCCACCGCTGAGCACGGAGACGCCGCGGCCGCGGCGGCGCGCGAACTCGCAGACGCACTCGACGATGTCGGTTCCCGCGGCGACCTCGAGGACGTGGGAGTGGAACGCGTTGGGGCTGTCCCGCGTCACGATGATGGGCGGCTTGGGCTTGTTCTTGGAGCCCAGCGGCCTCCCGCGGGGGCGCCGCATCGGGCCACCCGAACCGCTGCCGCCGCCGCTGTCCTCCGCCGCCACCATGGCCGACGACGTCGGGTGGTCCGATCCTAGGTCGGCGTCCGCGCCGGGGCTCTCATCCGGCGACAGCATGGACCGCTCCGCCTTGACGTCACCTGCCGGGGACAGTGGCTGGTGCTGCTGCGCGCGGAGCATGTGTAGGTAGTGCGCCGCCACGCCGCCGCCGCCACCGCCGCCGGTGGGATCCATCCCGGCCATGGCGCCCTCATCGGCGCGCTCCCACCACTTGCTCGCCGCCAGCTTCTCGATCCCTCGATCCCACCCCTCACCTCACCTCACCTGCAGAGAAAATCAACAACCAAAAAAAGAGAAAAAAAATGATTCGCGAGCTTGGTACTCGATCGAATTCAATCTACTCCACCGCGTAGGTAGCACTGTAGCAGCACTACTACTACTGTTCTTACCCACCCCTGGTCGGAGCGAAGCTTCTTCGTCTTCTTCCTCTTTGACGTCTCGGGCGGGCCACGTGTCCAGGGGAAGGAGGAGGCGGCGGCGGCGGCGCAAATAGTCGATCGATCTCGTTGGCCGGCAGGGCGGGGGCGGGGGCGCGGCGCCGCTCAAGGAAAAGGTAGTAGTAGTAGTGGCAAGGTGGAGGAGGAGAAGAGAGAGAAAGAGAGGGGGGGGGGGAGGGGGGCAAAAAAGGTTGTAGCTAGGGTCGGTGCAAGTGAGGGGGGAATCTAATGGGAGGATTTGACCGCAAATGGGAAGAAAATGGGCAACGGGACGAAAACGCGCTCCCGATACCGATACGGGGGATTTTCGCAGTTTTTGGTAGCGGTCGAGGTGGTACGGATTTTTTTTCTTTAACCCATTTCATCGAGAATTTTTCGTGATGCGTAGGTCCGGTTTTTTCTAATTAAAATGTAGTTTTTACCTCAGTTCTCGTTAGCATATTTTTTAAATCGCTAAACGGTATATATATATACACACCCACATAATTTTTTTGAAAATATTAAATAAATTTTTTTCAAGTTTGTAATAATTAATACTTAATTAATCATACACTAACGATTTTCTTATTATTTTTGCGTTCGTTGACTTCATCGTAATCTAATCCCAAACATCATCATAGTGCATAACACGCGCACACGTACATCTACCCTATAAACACTTTCGAGATACTGGGACTGAATATCATTAAATTTACAAAGCAACCGTAAAAGTTTCACAATAAATAGGTGCACAATCTACTACTCATAGAATATTTAGCCATAAATGAAAGTGATAAGACCCTGAGTAATATGGATACAACTGTTGCACACGATACATGTCAATTAATTGGGAAGACATCGAGATAAGCCGTATAAGTTCTGGAATCCAATTCGGCCATCAAGAGCAACTCTATCTTCAAATGACCACCAAATATACATACGAGTTCCGTTATGGGTCCATAAGTACTTGATGGAAAGTTCTTGGAGTCCTATTTCTCTTGGAGTCCTATTTCTACGGAGTCCTATTACGTGTGGTTTAGATGAATGTGAGAAGCTACAAAGTTGAAGTTTTTACGTGGGGTTAACAAAGAAATTCAGGACATGCTTACTTGTCGATCTCCTTTCAATTGTTACAACTTGCTTGCAGTGCTGAAAGTTAAATAGAGAAGGATATGAAAAAGCAACACACTATGTTTTTACCTGTTTTCATTAACCAATTGTAGGAAGTGCATAATCACAAAAAGGAGAGAGATATGAATGAGCCGCCATTTCCATTGTTCACGGTCAAGTTCGATGCACCTCCATCATTTGAATAGAGCATCAAAGGTAAGCTTAATGGTGCTGAAATTAATCAAGACGAGTATGCTGTTAATGAATTAAATCCGTCCACTTTTGTGCTAAAGTATAGTAACCATTAGTGGAACCAATCGTTGAGATTCCTTCGTCACAAGTTAATTTGTTTGCTATTCTTTGTGATAAATAAGAGATGTGTGATAATACTTCACTTATATCATTGCCACAACTAGTAAATGAACAAGTTACTTTTAGTGCTAGTTCTTTATGTGCTGATTTTAAACATATTGTTCATATTACTAATGAAGTTGAGGAACATGAATTGTTATCTTCTTTAAATACTTTGGGCTTTGTTTTCATTAATGACTTTTGTAAGCTCGATAATTTGATAGAGAAATTATTTGATAAATCTGATTTGCCATGTCCAATTAATACTATATTTCATATCTTTGGCACATATAATGATAGAGGAATTTATTTGGTGCATAAAGTTTATATATGTTTAGCTTAGAACCTCCGGTATATGTAGATAAAATTAGTGATAGTCATATTATTGTTAATTATATTCTCTCGAGTTTGTCTTGTCATGATTTAAAGAAACATGTTGGCTCTGAACAAGGAAAGCACCAGATTGCTCAATGTTACTACCATACACCATGACAAAAGTATCATGCGATTACTTGGCTTATGAAGAAGGGGAGGAAGATGAGCTGATAAAGGAGCTTACACATGCAGTGCCTACATTGTTTGTTGTGCTATCTCATAATCAGGTACATTTGTTTCAATGGAGGCTAAAATTATTTGCTAAAGAAATAATGATATTGCATGGCAAAAGTTTTTTGCGTTTGTTTTCATGTACACAATTCTATGGTCAAGGTCATGCAATACGCAAAGATTGCTATATGGAAAAACCGATGACAGTTTTCCATGAAGAAGGGGAGAATGATGTGACCATTATTTCTATGGATACAACTATTGCTCACATCACGTGTCAACTTGAAGACATCGAGATCAAGCCATACAAGTTCTAGAATCCAATTCGGCCACCGACAACAACTCTAACTTCAAATGGACACCAAATATGCATACGAGCTCTATTCTGGGCCCATGAGTACTAGATAGAAATCTCTTAAATTCCTCTTTCCGATGGATACAGACTCATCTTCAAATTTCATTTCCGTCGTCCTCAATTGAAGAAACAAGATGTTGCACCACATGTCATGAGCGTTCGGGCTTGTAACTTTGTTTAGGACTCTGGTCCAAGTGGAGCCCATGTGGGGTGCGCCCCAACCTGGTGGAGTGTGACCTTAGAGACCCATGGTCATCCTTTCCTCCCAATAGCTTGGTATCCCTTTAGAGTTTCTCGGGTCTTGTTACGGTTAAAATTTAGCGATTGCTACTATTTCGGGTAAAGCAGTGACCGATTAGATCACCGTTTTCTCGTTACGGAATCCCAACTTATCATTTGCACTCAATTCCTATTTGCAATATCATATTGCTTTTATCTTGTTCTTGCTTGTTTCCTCGATTTGCTTGCAGGAATGAGGTTGATACGCACCACCAATATCAACAACCCCATAGAAAGGTGTATCGATCGCTAAGATACAACACAACAACGTCTTGTATGGTTATAGTCAGATCGTCAATGTTTCTCCTAAATCATAGTTATCATTAATTCACCGAAAGATCAGGCAAATCAAAGCTGTGAGCGTATCGAGTGGAGCTAAGAGCTTTATCAAAAAGTAATCATGAACCAAATCTAAGATTAACTGGTCCAATACGTTTCACCACTAGCAACATAACCAGCGGGGTGAGACGCTTTTATTTATAAGTTCCTATAGGAAAAAAAATAAAGAGAGATACATATGGAAATTTCTTGCGGATGCAAATATTATTCTATCTTTTCAATCGATTTTGTTAAAATGTCATCGCCACAATTTCTATAATTACCTGTTCAATTGACTACAAGCATCACCCTATAAAATATATTGATTTATCTTTGTACATGAAACTTAAAATAAAAAGTGTATTGAGGATGGGTTACCGAAAATACTACTTCCGTCCAAAAATATAAGAACTTCTATTGTAAATCTTCTTCAAAATATAAGAATTTCTAACATTTATTACGTTGGAGAACGAGTTCCTCTAACAGGGATTCGACGACCCCCCTCCCCCCGTCGAGTTTGGCCTAGGGAGTAGGAGCGTAAGCATTTAGTACATGCGGTCGAAAACAGGACAAAATGGTTAGGCGACTCGGGAGCGTAATACTCTAATTCCATTATGTTCATTATTGAATATTATCTTCTCAAAGCGATTACAACATGGGCGGATTTTCCTTAGCTAGTTTTTTCCGAGAGCCCCCCTCCTCGACGATCTTGGGCTCTCACCTTGTAGTCATGGGGAACACGGTCTATCACTAGTAAGCTCCAATATAGTGGTTAGGTATTGGAGGTCTCGTTGTTAGTTGATGGACGAGCCCGGTCATCAGGCTCTAGCTGTGGGCCTCCCACGGCGCTATAGATGGCCATATATAAGGCCTGCCCAGCACAGGCTAGGCACGGCCCACCAGTAGTTGGGCTGTGCCGTGCTGGCCCGAAGGCACGAGCTACCCATCGTGCCCTCTTTAAAATAAGTCTATTTTACCTCCCTCCTCTTTGGGCTGTGACATATATATAGCTAAAATAAGTCTATTTTACGTCCCTACTTTTTTGGTCGTGCCATATAATATGTCTATTTTTTCCTCCCTATTCTTTGTGCCGTGCCTTACATATGGTTGACAATAAGTCTGTTTCGCATCCCTGAACGTCGTGTCGTCTCAGCGTGCCAAGGTAGCAGCCCAGGCACGACTCGGCTATTGGGCCGGACTGGTACGGGCATGACCCGAGTCGGGTTGTGTCGTGCTTGGGCTAGGCCAAATCACCGGGCCTTGGGCCGGGCCATCAGGCCTCAGGCCATATGGCCATCTATACACGGCACCACGTTGTAACTGAGCCAAAAAAAAATTGGAAATATACTTTTTTTTTCCTTGGTTTAGCAGGAATATACTCGTTCTAAAAGGGTCGGCAAAAGTATACCATCATCGCATTGCAAAGAAATGAACTCGCGGTGAGGAAGCGAGAACTCGTCACTTCGTCGTCTACGCACGGCGAGATCGCTCTGCTGATGTGCAAACTTGCTTGGCTAGCTTAGCTTAATTTTTGTACTACGTCCTAATCAGCCAGCTAATCCTCACAAAAAAATTCCAAAATTTGTTCAAGCAAGATTTCCTCTCGATCACATGAACATGTTCCAAGGTTTGCTTAAGCAAGCAAGAAGCTAGCAATGGTGCCGTGTCACTCACAACCACATCCCCCACCATCATGGCGTACGGCACGACGAGCTCGGCGAACCGGCGGAGCTCCCTTAAAGCATCCATGGAGAACCAAGAAATTGCAGAGATTGTAGCAGTTGTTGCGTGCGAGCAGGGTGTGTTTCGATCGATGCGTATTGCGTCGTACGAGCAAGCTGAAGCTGGTGACGTTGGCGAGCGAGGCGCCGGCAGAGCTGGACCGAGTTCCGCCGGAGGAAGCTGGTCCGGCGAGACGCAGCAGCCTCTTCGCCTCCACCGCCGCCGCCGTGGCTCCGTCCTCTCCGTCTCCGCCGCGTCGGACGGCGAGCAGTGGCTTCCTCCCACGTCCACGGTTTGCCTCCTCCATGTCGATCTTGGGTTGATGTTTGCGGCCCAATCCCAATGGATTAGCCCGACTTGGATTGAAAACCCAGCCCACATTCGGTTAAGCCTGGAATGGGTTGAATCCAGGCCTACCACGGCCTTTCACCCTCACCCCGGCCCAGGAAAAAGAATAACATCTACGCTGTTGCGGCGACTGCGGAGACGGCGGCGAC